CAACAACAACAACAACAACAACAACAACAACAACAACAAAATCATCAACAACAACAACAACAACAACAACAACAACAACAACAACAACAACAACAACAACCACAACCCTTCGGTGTCTGAGGCTGCAACATTCGGACCTGGAGTACATGCAAAACATTGTAGAAAGATCTGTGGACATAAAAGGCAATCAAGACCATGCCTAAGCCCACAATCGACGACATCATCCGGACTCCACCTGACACCTCGGCACCCTGAGGGGTTAAAGGAATGCTTCTGAGGGGCGTTGGAAGAAATTGTGCTGCGCAAAAAGCTCAGTGAGGTCAGCCTCACCAGAGTCCATCTCCTGTGGCTGCAGGTGCTTGTAGGGTACCGTAGGGTTTTCATCGGGCTTGTCAGGGCGAGGCCTTTGCAGTTAGATGCAGTTAGCATGGATTTTGGGAGGTTATCCCGGTATTCTAATTATCCAGACCCAGATAGCTGAAGCAGCTGGGTTTGGGATATCTTGGGCTCAGTGAAGCCTTAAGTCAAGGGTTTACCTCAGGGTCATCAGAGCCTACAGTAGATGGGCAGATGACGTGATTCAGGACGTTTGGGTTAATTTTAATTCGGGTCGGCTTTATGGATTTCGTCGCCGGTGTAGTGGTAGTAGTACTAGTAGCAGCNNTCGTGGTAGTAGTAGTCGTTGTAGTAGTCGTCGTCGCCGTCGTCGTCATAGTCGTTGTAGTAGATCGTTGTCGTCGTGGTTGTGGTAGTATAGGTAGCAGACGTAGCAGTAGCAGTAGTTGCAATGGTAGCAATGGTAGCAGTAGTAGTAGTAGTAGTAGTAGTAGTAGTAGCAGTAGCAGCAGCAGCAGCAACAGCTTGTGGTAGTAGTAGTCGTAGTAGTAGTCGTCGTAGTCGTAGTTGTTGTAGCTGTTGTAGTTGTAGTAGTGGCGGTGGTGCTGCGGTGCTGGTGAGCATGTGGCAAGCAGCGCGTAGTAAGTCGTACGTTGCACTTAGTAAGTGGTACGCAATTTGTAATGTTGTAAGCAGTACGTGGTAGGTTGTAGCAAGTAGCACGTAGCACACGGTACGTACGTAGCAACCCAACCTGTCGCGCGACTCTGAAACAAGTGCCACCTACAACGACAACGAGACGACGGACATTAGTACTTTGGTCGTGTTGCCGGCCAGACGTAACGATAACAAGATGTCATCCGGAAAAGACTGGAACTGATCTCAATGCAAGCCGTGCTGCTCCGAGCAACTTCACCGCACGCTTAAGCTCCTTGCTTCAACGCCGAGTATGAGGGTGGGCTTGTGGACTCGGGCTTACGTTTTCAAACTCTGTTTGTCATTCAAGTTCTTGGGTACGGCACACTCGGCCTGACGTGCTGCATGTCTGTGCTCACACGAACCCTCTCTCTGTCTCTCCTTCTCTCTCTCTCTCTCCCTCTGCCCCGTCTTGCAAAAATGTGGATCACCCCGAACCACGAAGCCTGCAATGTGGCCAGTTCGTGTTGAGTCCGCACTTCCATAGTCTTCGAATCTGATGACAGTTTCCTCGAGCGACAAAGCCTTCGTATAACGTGCCTCATGCAGTGGGAGTGGAGACAGACGGAAAAACCAGTGTAGAGCTTCAGGGTTGCTTGTAGACATTCTAGACACATAGACACCATGTCGTGAACTGGCTTGCGCAGCTTATGTGCAGATCTGCAGCTTAGTGCAGATTACCGCCCCTCGTTTGGATGCATCACTGTTTGGGCGTGCAAAGAGCGGTGTCTAGAAACTGCAAGAGTCAAAACCAGTGGGTCATCGGATTTTGGCTGCAAGTACCATCAGAAAGCAAACCAACACAGGCCGGTATACAGCCAGGCTCATGGGAGCTAGCAGCTAGCAAGCACGATCTTGTTTCGAAGGCCATCACTCTAAAAGAACAGCTTGCCGCAACCTCCCGTATCTCGTATCTAATGTAGGGGCCTTCAAAACTAGAATAGGGTTTTGGGGTATATTTTACTACAACCAAAAAAAAGAACCCCCAACGTAGTATTCGTAATTATTTAGGCACCTATGGTACCTGCGCTCGGGTCTACGAAAGCCTGGAACCTTTCCTAAACCCTAAACCCCTCAACCCCAAAGCCGGCACCACTTGGCTGCCCGGGCCTTCTGAATCGCGCGCAAGGCGAACCTCCACATGGGAGTAGCTTTCAATTTGGATGTTTGAAGAAATTTGGAATTCAAGCTTCCTGACATCTGGGGTCGTGTGTTGGTGCCTGAATAAGGCTTTCCTGTAGGCTGCCGTTGCCTGGTTGTGGCGAGCTTCTTCAGGGAACAGTCTTTCTCGAAGCTAAAAGCAAACGGAATCCCCACTGTCAGTTCCTCGAAATGTACACCGACAAACAGCTTTAAGTCCAAGACACGTCAGGCTTTAATGAAAGTTGCCGGGTGCACATGATTGCCCTGCACCCCTACGAACACGTTGGGCATGCATTGGGTGTCCACCCAGTTTGTGTTTCTGGCTCTAAATTAACCTGAAGCCCGTGTACAGAGATAGGTGTTGTGTTAACAGCCGCGATCAGCTAGCGATCAGTGCCAAATACTTGACCCGATAATGTATTGTGGATACGGCCAGGGAGGGATGTGTCAAAGATTGAATGCCCCAAGGTGACCATGCGTGCTGAAAGGCTGTGCGCAGGTGTATGTATGTATACACATACACACATACATGCATATACTTATACACATATCCACAAGCACACACATAAACCTGAATATGCATATACATTATAGACACCCCTTTTTATACATAATTAAGCACATCTGCCCGCTGATGCGCAAGTTCTTTTGACTAGTCATTAGCATGTAAGGCATGCATCACAGTTCGACATCCTGCATTCTGAAGTCCTATGTCCCACACACTGGACCTGTAAGTAACCCTCAGACCTGTAAGTAACCCTCAATCCACCGTAAACCCCTTGCGTAAGCCCAAATCCATAAATGGAGAGGCGCTCGCACATATTGGGTGTCGCTGAGAGTCCTTCACCGATCCTGGGAGTGCTTTTCGCTGAGAGCAAGTTCTGGTTACGATAATCCCAAACCCTAAACCCTGAACCCTAAACCCTAAGCCCTAAACCCGAAGACCTAAACCCTGAACGCTGAACCCTAAACCCTGAAGCCTAAACCCTATAGCCCTATAAACCCTAATCCCAAAAGCCGGCTTGAGTGCGCGGGTTGAGTTCGGGCAGCGGAAGGTAGGGCCAAAGGGGCCTCAATGGGGCTTCAAGGGTCTTTTAGGGTTTAGGGGTTTAGGGTCTAGGGTTGAGGCTGTGAGGTTTAGGGTTTAGGGTTGAGGCTGCGGAGTTTGTTGTGTAGGGGTTCAAGGAGACATTGATTAGCCGATTAGCCAGGGCCGGGACCAGAATGTAGCTCTGGGCTTGGGTATCGGGGAGGATGCTAAGGCTTTGAATGGAACCTCCAAATTTCATTAGAGACGTCCTGTTCAAGAGCTCATGCCCTGCACCGATCCGGGATCCAACACAGGCTTTCAATCATCCAGGGTTTCTGGTGAGACGTACAGGTAGGGCCAGTCGGGATTATGAGGAATGGGTTTTGGTTCCACAAGGGCCAAGCTGTAGTTGGAGGACGAGGAATACAGTTCCGAGTCGGCGGAGCTCGTGGCCTGCGGTTTACTGTACCTTAAGAACCCCAAACCCACTTTTTTGTAGGTTCTTATTATAAACCCTAATATGGGATTTATAGGGACCCTACAAAAAAGTAGGTTTTGGGTTCTTAAGGTAGGGCTGAGTTTCTAGACTTTGCACTTAGCCGTCACTCACACTCACGTGACCTTCGCTCAATAGCGGGAGATCAAAGGCACGGCAGTTTGACCACAAGCTGCCCATCGCCACGCCCCTTGGATGGCTTGTTGGTCAAGATCCTTAAGGGTCCATGTGCTCATATAGTATATACATTGGCCTTAATGTAGTCCCTATATAGGCACTTTAGGGCCCATGTATATGTTATATGAGTACATGGACCCTTAGGGGAATACAATAAACAAAGCCCTGAGCTTGGGTCTCTTGGCTCGGGAAGCTTTCAAGCCCCTTGCTCACAGGCATTCGGTAGTCTTGTATTCATGCATGGTCCAAATCCCGAAAGTCCTTTTTGAAGGGCTCTACAGCTATACCTGCCCCTCCATCTCCATCCCTGGGCTCATGTCAGAAACCCTACTACAGCCCTAAACCCTCTAAGCCCTAGACTCATTACGCTAAGCCACCAAACCTTAAACCCTTTCAGAGGACCAACCCAAGCTTGCCGACAAAACCCCCAAACCCCAAACCCTTGACCCAGAGCCATATATATGTTTCCCAAAACCCCTTCAAAGCTCTGTAACTCAAAATCCGTTAAAGCCTGTACCTACCGACTTGCCGGTCTAGCTATCTAGCTGTCTTTCTATCAATCTATTCACCCGTCGCTCTATCTCTATCTATGTATCTATCTATCTATCTATTAAGGTGTTTTTACAGAGGCTCACATATGCATACATACATGCACGCACACGGTATATACCAATATGTATGTGTGTATATATATATATATGTAGATGTATGATTGTGTGGGTGTTATCTGCCCGCAACCGATCCGCCTGGAACTTGCCCGGCTCCAGCGATTCCGTGGACATAGAAATGGGCACAGACCAATCCCAGCAGCATAAATCCTTCGAAGCAAGTGTGGGGACTAGCGTGGTTTCAGAGGTTTTCGGTAGTGTAGCAAGAGCTCGGCGTGTTATTGGTGTTGGTGTTGCAGGTGGTGTAGGGTCGTGGAACACTTTTTGAACCGGGAATATGTGGGTTCTCGCAGGTCTTATGAACTCGTTTGAAGACGTCAGTTACTGCGGCTATACAGGGAAACATGAGAGTTGGGTTTAAGGCTGCGGGTTGGGCTTTTGAGTATAACTGCTAAAAATGCAGGATTTTACACCGTCCAGATTATGAGGTGCTAGAATTAAAAGGCCACAAGTATTCATAAGTCCTGGGTTGCCTGTAATTACGGGTCTTCTGGGAGTCCTCCCTATTATATGACTAGGCATCTGCAAGTCTGGCTAGAGCTCCAATGTCTGAAGCAAGCTTTTTCGTGTATGCTCTCGCGCTCGGACTTCGAAAGTTGAGGTGTGATGGTGCTGCGATTCTTGGCCTTAAGGATTTAGGGTCAACAAAAACCTGCATAAGTATACATGGTAAGCTAAGTATGTCTCCCGGGGCTGCTGCAACACTTGCACGACGATTATGCGAAGCAACAGCAGCGGCAGCAACAGCGCCAGCAACAATAGCAACAACAGCAACAACAACAAAAACGACAACAACAACAACAACAACAACAAAAACGACAACCACTACAAACAACACCAACAACCAAGCCAAAACCAACACCGACGGCAACACCGACAGCAACACAACCACCACGACCATCAACACCACCACCACCAACAACAACAACAGCAACAGCAATGGCAACAGCAATGGCAACAACAACAACAACAACAACAACAACGACAACGACAACGACAACGACAACGCCACCGCCACCACCACCACCAACACCACCACCACCAAGAACAACAACAACAACAGCAACAACAGCAATGGCAACAGCAATGGCAACAACAACAACAACAACGACAACGACAACAACGACAACAACAACAACCACGACCACGACCACGACCACGACCACGACCACGACCACGACCACAACAAC